TGAACGTCTAGATTTGGATCAGCATCAAGATAATAAGCCTAAAAATATCAAAAAGCGTAAAAACCTGAAAACTCTGAAAAACCACTGCACCCAATAAACACTCATGTCTTAAAACTACTTACTACTGTTTGCAAGTTGTGCTGGACCCCACTAAGAGTCCTCTGGTCCCAGTGTCAATTCAGGAGTCTGTGGCAATCTTCCTGACTGGATACTCTGAGAATAGTCCTTTTGTGATAACACAATGGGATACCTTTAAAAAGATACCCTGGTGTAGACCCAGAGAGGAACTTCTTTTGGGATACCAGTTTCGGATGAAAGCTGGAAATCTTTATGCGTTCACACTGCACCATAGGGCACGAATTCATACTGTCCTCAAGACGTTCATGACACTTACATCTATAATGAATGTTTATCACTCTAAGAATACAAACCACATGGTGACTACTTATAAAACGAATAATTCTACTCCATTATCAATTCTATCTACAAATCACATTTGGGCTCAACTACAAATCACATTTACGCTGGACACAATTTAATAGCACAACAATACTGACTTGATTTTTGTTTCAGGGCTATACATCAACTTTACACGTAATACTAACGACAGTTTAGTGACACAATAATTAATGGTTACCACTTATCTTCACTATTTGACCACCACAATTGACCACTAGTGTTTCAAAATATGTTCTTATAATGTATTGTCTCAAAAACTCATTTATATGTTACTGTTGTTATATTAACTCCGTGTTATCATGAATCAATTATATATTCCTCATAGTAGTGTATTCTGTTTCCATTCTCATAACCCTGATTTATTTCTATTTAATCTAGAAGACTTACTATGCTTTATCTTATTATACTATATCCGTCACCACATACAAACACTCATAAAAAATAGCACCTAATAAATATCTTTTCATAATACATTCATTTCTTTAATATGCTTATCACCCCATTCACTGTTGCCTAAATGCTCAAAGACTGCAAACATACTTAACATAATATAGGAATCGTTGTTTGTAGAGAGACACCTACAAAAGGCTTTAGAACACACTACAGGCATTGCAATCCCTCGAATCAACCTGGAACGCGAGAAGATGTTCAAGATAATGAATGGAGATTGCTTCTATCCGATGACCAACTGGCCACTTGATATCCAAATTATATTCTGCAACTATGTCACCTCAGACCTGGAAAACTTTAAACTGACAATATTTTTCCTAGGGAATGGTTGCTCGCCATTCGTTCTATTTACATTTCTCATCTTAGTGTTCAAAAAAGACCCATCTAATTTTAATAAACTAATTTATCAAATCAAACGGATTACAAAAAACTTAGAATCACACAACAGCAGATGGTACTACTTCGACATTCACTTTAATTAAATGAGATACCTCAACCTACAACCTCTCCCTTACCAGAAACGAAACCGTGACACTATTTTTGACGATATCTGAAAGACGAAGAGCGGACATGAATCTTTATAAACAATACACTTAACGAAATAATATAACACGAACCTGTAATTTTTTAGACAATTTATATGCTTATTTAAATATGTAAATATCAAAACATGCTAATACTGACTCATTTATTTACTAATTAAACCTTATTTATAATGCCACTCATCACAGGATTACACAACACGCGTTGCAAAGCATATAACACACTACTGTATTTATCAACAATCAGTGCTTTATGCATATACATTTCTCTCCCGGCCAACATCTCCAATAATCTCGTATAAGCATCCATATGTTATTAATAACTATTATTCACAATTTTACTCATACTAAAATACCACTGTTTGGGCACTCACAAAACAAAGGACAACTACATACCAATAATTGCCATACCACTTATATATAGTAAAGAAACAGTAAAATACATGCAATACAAAAATGATACACGCTATTAATTACCTTTAGGACAACGAACGAAAATTCACTCCATCAAATGAGAAAAAAGCAATTGGTCCATTCAGCATGAGATCCCTTTTTCCACCGGGCGAAAACTACAGACATGACAGAGACTTTAAACGATGGGTGGACAGTGGAAAGGTATGAATGCTAACTGCTCTGACTGACAAAATGATAACAAACATATCTGACCACGTACTAACAAATGAAGAAAAGGAAGCAATTGGAAAAGGACTGAAGTTTATACCCAACTCACAGAAAGTAGGAAGAGAAGTATACGAGGCTAGTGTGGAGAAATTCAAAAGAAAACTACGACTCAAGATGTTCTTCAAGGATAGAAAGGAGCAGAAGAGATCCGTATTCTACAAGAAATCCAGCTGGGTACCTCCAGAAACAGAGAATGAAAACATACTCGAATACTTTGGCAAGATAGACAGAGATCTAGAAGAGATATGGAACAGAGAGACACCGAGAAAAAGAAACAACTTGAAACCAGAGGTATGGCGAGCACTGAAAAACCTACAAAACAACCGAGACATTATTATCAAAAAAACTGACAAAGGGGGAGGGCTCTGCATCATAAACAAAACAACATACGAAGAGAAAGTGAATGAACTACTAATGGACAGAACAGTATACAGAGAGCTTCAGACTGACCAAGCGAATAAGATTTTGAGAGGAATTACTGACATGTCAAACTACATGCTTAAACTTCATAAAATTAATGAACAGACTGCAGAGTTCCTTCTTCCCTGCAAACCATGTAGACCACCACAATTTTACGGACTTCCAAAAATTCATAAATCTAACATTCCATTACGACCAATAGTCAGCGCATGCAGCGGACCTACGGACAACCTATCAGAATACCTGACAAGATTCATACAACTACTGGTCGAATCACTACCAGCCTACATTAAGGACAGTATACACTTTCTCAACATGTTACAAAATATACGACTTCAATCTTCAGAATTCATTTTTGTGACGGCTGAAGTGACATCACTCTACACCAACATCCCACATAGAGATGGCATAGACGCAGTAGTACATTACTTGAGGCTCATACCATTACAAGATAGACCACCTGACTGCCCATCACCAGGTATCATAGGCAACCTTATAGAAGAAATACTATCAAACAGTACTTTCTCTTTTGGTGACAAACACTACCATCAACTGACAGGTACATCAATGAGCACACGGGTTGCGCCATGCTATGCGAATTTATTCATGGGAAGGCTTGACGAACAAATCACCAACCAATTTCCGAATCACATTACTTTCTACAGAAGATTCATCGACGACATATTCTTCATTTTTCAAGGACCCATAGAAGTGTTAGATCAGATCTGCAACTACATGAACACCATCCATCCAACAATCAAATTCACTTTCAACCACTCAGCAACATCAATAAACTTTCTAGACATACTACTGTATAAAAATGAACAAGGTAACATTCACACGACCATCTATCGAAAACCAACTGACACAATGGAACTACTTCACTATGACTCACATCATCCCACACACACCATTCCGGGCATCATATACAGCCGAGCTCTCAGATACCGCACTATCATTACAGAACTTAACAACCTACAAAAAGAACTTAAATACTTAACTATGGCACTAGTACTAAGAGACTATCCTCTGCGCATCATCAACAATAACATTAAGAAAGCGCTTCATAAAACGCAACATGAACTTATCAACAACAGGCGCGCGCAGGAAAACACAGAAAGACTAACAATAGTTACTCCATATACTCCCATTGGACAACATCATCCAATGGGAGTATATGGACAACGACAACATCATCCAATGATCCAATATCCAACGACAACATCATCCAATGGGAGTATATGGAGTAACTATTGTTAGTCTTTCTGTGTTTTCCTGCGCGCGCCTGTTGTTGATAAGTTCATGTTGCGTTTTATGAAGCGCTTTCTTAATGTTATTGTTGATGATGCGCAGAGGATAGTCTCTTAGTACTAGTGCCATAGCATCATTCTTAACAACTGGAACATGATTGACCCTAACTTACAACTACAGGACATATTTCCACACAAACCACTATCAGTACATACAAACTTAAAATCTATTAAAGATATACTAATACACACTAAACACCAACAATAACAACTGCACAAAAGAATATTAGCTTTTATTGCAACCCCTCTATCGACAACATCATCCAAATGGGAACTCAAAACTTCTTAAGAACTTAAATTTCCGGTTTATCAAGACTCTAATAACTTACGCAAATTTATCATCGGCATTTTTGGCTTCGCTCTCCTCAGTCTCTAATTCAGCATAAAAGCCATTTTTAAAACCGCATGCTATTCTGTGTGAACTCTGATACAGAGCGGTGAGTTTAAAATTCAATTTAATTACATTTTCTGGGTATTTAGGCGGACTAAGATTCTTATCAATCTTGACATCTCCTGTATATCTTTGTTTATTTATAATTCTAAATTTAACTTTTATAACAACGACGAGTAAATATTCATCATCAAGAACATCTTACATCTTCGTCACGATTTAAACCCAAAAGATAATATTTATTTTCACAATGGTAAGCAAACATGTTTTTGTGGCGGACTTTAAAACGGCGCACCCCAAACTCGGTAAACAACGAAAGCTTTTGTTACGAAAATTCTCGGTAAATATACTGAGTATTTTACAGAATGGCAAAACCGCGCTGTTACGACAAGTGCCAAAATGGATTCCTCGAAAGAAAAAAAACAAACTCTTCAAAACCATTTTCTAAAACTTTAATTTAAATATTTACAAACCATATATAAACATTTAAAATTATAAAACTAAAACATTTACACCTATACTACTGATATTAGAATTAAAATAAGTAGAAGTTCTTTTTAAGGCTTTATTTTTTTAAGTAAGGTTTTACTATTTTACAAAAGCTTACTTGAGAAATGTTTTGTAATAAGTTAAAAATTTACAAAAAACATTTGAAAAAAATTTATGTATAGGTGTTAACAGTTTTAAATCTCAAATAAATAATTACAATATATTTTTGCTTTTCAAAATAAATGTTCTGATATTCTTCAGTTTACTTTTCTTTCATTAACTTTTTTTAATTCAAAATCTTCCTTATCTTTCAATCTTCAAATGTCTTTTTTTCTTAATCTCATTATTTTAAGCTTTTCCTCTATGTATATTCTTCTCATCATAAGTATGTGTATCTTCTTGTCATCAGTGTAACACAGTATGTGATCATTTGAGAAAATTCGAGTATTCGCTCTAAAAATTCATAAAATAAATTCATAAATTAAAATAGAATTAAAATATTAATGTGTAATTCAAAGACGATATTTATCGTGAATATGACACTGGAACATATTGAAATTTTGCCATAAATCTTTATTTATAAACTCATAATATTCCCTATATACTGCCTCATCCAACCTAGACCATTTCATATCACCTTGATAACCAAAAACAAACTTTAATTTAAACTTCATCCTATACCAAAAGGACTCAATGTGGTTTATTGTTGTCCCTGTTTCAGGGTCAACAAAGTTTGTGGTATGGTTAATAGTTGAATGAATATAGCCTAAGTTGCTTAAATTATTGTAGTACAATAATTTAAGCAACTTAGGCTATGTTCATTCAACTATTAACCATACCACAAACTCTGTTGACCCTGAAACAGGGACTCGTACAATTTGTACGAAGCCCATTTATCTGATTGTATAGTTGAACCAGGAGCAATCTAAGTTTGAATCAAAGGTACTAATGTATTTGCAGTGCAATCCTCTACCCTAATCAAATACCCTTTTTTATTTGTTTTATCATAAGCCCTGAAAATCCAATACTTTTAACGTTGTGACCCACATTATACTTGCGTCTGAAAAATAAAGATTCATTAATTTGAACTATGTGTCTTGGACCTCCCAGCTGGTTTACAGGTGCAACATTTAAAACTTTGAATGAGCAGATGTCTCTGATACCATTGAACTGGTTGGTTGGCTTATTCCTACTAATTCAGCAGCAGCAGCAGTAACAGGGACCTCTGAAACCCATAACAACATAAGTTTAAGTATATCACTTACACTTAAAGATGTTGAACATTCAAAACAACCACTTCGTGTTTTTGTCTTCTTACAGCTGCTGCATCGCCAAATGTGTTTATCCTTAAAGAAAAAAAGCATCAGAAAAAGTTTAAACAAAATCCAATTAAACAGGATTAGATTTTAGGAAAGTAATTTAATCCTTTATAAGGATTAATAACTCATAATAATATAATAACTCATTTGATAACATAATAACATAATAACTCATGATTCATAATCATAATCAATAATCATAATAACATAATAACTCATTTGAACTCATAACATAATAACTCATTTGATACTTAATATAAGCCAAGTCTAATCAGATTAGTATTTAAAATGTAAACAAGCTAAAGTTTTATTTAAGTTATTACTTTCTTTTATAAAGCCCTTATGATATAATACCGTGAAACATATGATTAAATATGATATTTACTTACTAGACACCGCTCAAATCTTTGAATAGTCATTTGCTGACCACAGATACAAGATTTGCGAACATGGATTAGTCTGTTTTGATGGAGAAAATTTATTAGCCTTTTTTCTTTAATGCTTTCAATATATTCTGCCAAAGAAGTAGTCTTGCTTGAAGTTGTCGTGTACTGAAGTGAACTTGAAAAGTTGAAAACGTGCTTTAGTCTAATTTAATTTATTAGCCAATGAAAATCGACTTTTAATTTTCGTAACGAAAATTTTCGTTGTTTACCGAGTTTGGGGTGCGCCGTTTTAAAGTCCGCCGTTTTTGTTACTTAACTTTCTTTTATTCTATTCACAATTATATCTATAGATAAAGTTTATGTACCATTATTTATTTATAAGGGGACAAATGTCTAAGTTTTTTCTTAATTAGCAAAATGCTACAAAGTTTTTAACTGTAGTAAAAGTTTATAAGTATGTACCAATATGACTATCACTTTATGCTGTATGTCTATGGTACAGAATAAATGTCATAAGATATCTGTGTAAATGTTTACATTAACATTCCTAAACAGATACACAAAAACCCTGTTCAATACTGACCAAGAAAAGAACATATTAAGTTTAAGACATACCACCCCATTATAAAATACTGGTGTTTTAGAAATTCTGAGCACGTGCTCTATTTTAGCCAAGTAGTGTCCACAGGGTGTCAACCATTGGTCAGGCGCCAGACCTTCAAAACTTCCTGATGACAACTAATGGTCCTAATGAGAATGTCATCTTGAAACTACATGGGTAATTGAATTTTAAAACACCTATATTTTGATCATCTACACTTCAATACACTTATGCTTATCATTCTTATATTTATACTGATACTTCTAGTAGCTATATTTGCTGATTTATGTCTATAAGGCTATACTTTACTAAGATTAGATCATTAAAACATTACTCCAACATCTATTCAACACAAAAAAATGTGTGAAATAGCTATTGTAATGTATATAATACATATAAATAATTTAGGGATACTTAGGAGAATATATGTATGTATAATCATAAGAATGTATGTATATATATATATATATATATTTATATATATATATATATATATATATATATATATATATATATATATATATATATATATATATATATATATATATATATATATATGTGTGTGTGTGTGTGTGTGTGTGTGTGTGTGTGTGTGTGTGTGTGTGTGTGTGTGTGTGTGTGTGTGTGTAAGCGTACGCATGAGTGAATACATACATACTCGTATGTGTTTGCATTAATACACATATAATCTTGTTTATCAGTGTGTGTGTGTGTGTGTGTGTGTATTTACATGTGTGCTATAATGTATTTATTGGGGTATTTGTATTTTCTTCAATGTATTTGTATATGTATTTGTATATATGCTTTAATATGATACTACTAGAATCATACATATTTAATATACAACTCCAGCTAACCATAACCATTACAACTACTAACTACTACTGTCACCGTACACACTCTAAAATTTTGACTATCATGTACAATCTACTTTAACACTCCTGTCAGGGTTATTATAATAATATCCTTACACTCTGATATCTACTTAAAAAACAAATAATTCTACTCCAGCTCTCTTCCATACACCATATGATAACTATTTAAAAATGATTAATTCTACTTCAGCTCTCTTTCATACACCATATGATAACTACTTAAAAAACAATTAATTCTACTTCAGCTCTCTTTCATACACCATTTGACAACTACTTAAAAAACGAATAACTCTACTCCAGCTCTGTTACATACATCATCTGACAACTACTTAAAAAACAAATAACTCTACTTCAACTCTGCTACATACATTATCTGATAATCTAAGATGATAATCTACACAAGTAACTATTAATATTATTAGGCAAAAACGAGCCATGATTTTCATAAAACGAATAATTCTACTTTATTTTAAATATTTCTCATAACATCACAGTCATGTGACTTATGTACTGTGAATCTTTTTACTTTCACAAAATACTAAACACTTTTTCAAAACCTCATATTAACCAGTTAAACTACAAAACTCCATATGATAATTATGAATTAGTAGTAATTTTTATATATAGATTATTTTTTTTAAATTTACACATTAATTTTTGTTGTTATATTAATGTAATTCTAGTTAAATATTTTAGATCATCTAGTTGTAATAGGTAATTTATTCTCCAGAACCACGTAAAGGACTACTACAAATCACGCCTAGCTGACGTTACACCAACTTAAAGGACCTTTTAACTATTTTTTATACTAATAACTCTTACTATCGAGGCATGCTACTACAATAGTTACACACGTGAAACACAATATCTATTTACATTACACATACCTAAATGAACTCAAAACAATTCACAACTCTCATTGACCCGTGCTACACTTTGAAAAAACAATGCACTTAATAGACACTCATGTCAAAAAACTACTTACTATTGTTTGCAAGTTGTACTGAACCCCACTAAGAGTCCTCTGGTCTCAGTTTAAATTCAGGAGTCTGTGGCAATCTTTCTGACTGGATACTTTGAGAATAGTCCTTTTGGGATAACACAATGGGATACCTTTAAAAAGATACCCTGGTGTAGACCCAGAGTGGAACTTCTTTTGGGATACCAGTTTCGGATGAAAGCTGGAGGTCTTTATGCGTTCACACTGCACCATAGGGCACGAATTCATACTGTACTCGAGACGTTCATGACACTTACATCTATAATGAAGGTTTATCACCCTTAGAATACAAACCACATGGTGACTACTTATTAAACAAATAATTCTACCCCATTACCATTTCTATCTACAAATCACATTTACGCTGGACTCTAACAACAAATTAGTAGCACAACAGCTTATGACTTTCCTTGACTGTTGTTTATTATTCTTATTTACTTTTTACTACACTTAACTCATATCAGTTTTTAATATTTTTCCACTTTAAGGCTCTTTGTTTTTCTTTGGACATCTGTCCATTTGTACTTTTATCTAACTCTGCTAAACTCTTTTTAACTTATTTATCATCCCTAAGGCGTACACTGCTCGGTGCAGCTTCACTAAAATGCATTGCATTTACAAAAATTTATATATATATATATATATATATATATATATATATATATATATATATATATATATATATATATATATATATATATATATATATATATATATATATATGTATATATATATATATATATATATATATATATATATATATATATATATATATATATATATATATATATATATATATATATATATATATATCAAGTACGACCATCAGCAAATACCTGGTGCCTGGTCTGTTTTCATGCCGAATGTAGATGAAAAACAGATAAGAAATTTAAATGCATAAAACGTGACAGGATAAAACATTTTTCTTTTTGTATAGATTTTTGATTTACTTTTGGCACTCTATATTTCTACACTTTTAGGTCAAATATATGTTAAAGAGTGCTTACAAATACGGCTTTTTTGTGACTGAATTTCTCCTAGCAAACTCAAAATTTGTAGTAAATAAAGCCTTGTAACACTTTATTTTCTTTTATTGTAATTCTTGTCTCAATGGAGAGAAATGCTCGTGGTAATGGCATTTTTTTTATTAGAAAAGCGCGATAAAAATGAAGTGAAGAAAATAATAAATAATATTGTTTTGATAAACTCTTAAAGGATCCCTAAGTACTCTAAAGATATGATCTCATATAAAAGAGCATTAAAAAAAAATGTTTGTATATTATTTTTTCTAAAACGCAATAATGAACACACACTAACTTAATTTAATTTAAAAAAAAACGCTTTTCTTCGATAAAAAAAAATGCGTCTTGTCCAAAGTTTATTGATTCTATTGCCTCAAAATACTAACGTTAGTACGTCAAATTAAACAAAGTAGACAAAATGTCATTATTGCAAACTTATTAGTCGGTAATTAAATTTAAAAGTAAAGTCGTTTTTTTTCAACTAACACATAATTACTTACAAGAATAAGTTTTGTAGCCTTTTGTGAAAATATATTTGTATATTAAAATTTTTTTTATAATTTTAATTTATATATTTGTGTTATAAGGGCAATTCCACGGCTAAAAATGAATAGAAGTCAAATTTTAAACCCTTTTTAGTCAGTTAAAAACAAAATGAATATTGACTTAGACATATGAAAGTTTATTTAAAATATTTCCTTAGTAAAAAAATAAATTTATTTCAGTAATTTTTATGGTTTCAAAAGTGACGGATACTCTCATTTTTGCTTGATACAAAAAATAATGATTGTAAAATGTTTTAGTTAAATTAACATTTATGTTAAATTGCTATATTTTTTTGGTTCAAATTGATAAGGTTGAATAGACATTTTATTAGAAATTAATCTAAGACAAGGCTCCAATTAATGCAAAAAAATCTAATCGCGAAAAAAAATTTTTTTTTTTTTTGCTCTCTCCCCCTTCCCCCTCTTCCCCCCTCTCTCTTATAGCTCGCGCCGATATGCGGTAATAGGGGGAAAAAATTATCGTCAATAAATCAAAAAACATCGTCAAAAACTTAGATACCACGTTTTTTATAATTTATTGTTTCTTGAATAAAGGACTAATGAAAGTTTAATATATAATTAAGTTTTTCATTTAAATGGTTGATGTTTTTTTTCAATTTTTCTATTTCAAGTTTTCCAATAAAAGATAAAACAAAAAAATTTGGTTTAATAAATCGAATTATACTTCATGTTTAAAATAAGGCTTAAAAACATTGAAGTAAAAAAATTGCTGGTTTTTATTAGCATATTTATACTGTTTAAAAAAAAAACTAATAAAAAAGAATTAACTAATAATATATTAATTAATAATTATATATTTTTTTATTAGTTGTTTTTTTTCAAACAGTATAAAAATGCAAATAAAAGTCAGTAATTTTTTTGTTCTAACGTTTTTAAGCCTTATTTTAAACATGCAGTTTTGATAACCAAAAATAAAAACCAACTTTTCAACTTTTCGCTTTAATGACCTTGTAAAAATTTTCACGCGGAGATTTAAAATAATTTAAATTGAAAAATGTTTTACGTTGAAAGAAAATCTCCGCGCGAAAGAGCAAATCATCTATTCATCTATCTATTCAGAATAATAAATTTTGTGTGACGTTCTTTACGATAAAAACATTACTTTTAAGAATTGCTAAAAAAAATGCTAAGCTAGAAAAAAAGTAATTAATCAACCAAAAAAAAAATAAGTCGCGAAAAGATTTTTTTTTA